GGTTTTTTGGCTTGAGGGTTTGTTTTTTTTCCTACTGCTGTTTCATTGTTTTTGTTTGTTTCTTATTTCTTCTTCTTCTCTTTCCATTCCCTTGAAATTTACTCTTTCTGTCTCTGCATTTTCTTTTTCTTTTTTCTTTAACCTTTTCCCTCGCCCCTTCCCCTCGTTCGAGCTTTCTTTACTAATCTTTCTTTCTTTCTCTATTCTTCAACTGTGCCCATACACATACACACAATGGAATACTAAGTAACACTGAAGAATAACAATGAATCTACGTAACATCTCACAACATGGGTGAAATTAGTCAATCACAAAGGGCAAATACCGTATGAGACTACTGTTGCAAAAAAAGTTTAAAAAGGTTTTCTTGGTAAAAGAAACAATCTATGATGCTTAAGGGAGAAGTGGCGGGAGGGAAAATCATTCAAGGGCTAGAGGGTAGACACATGTTAACATGGGTGACAGGACAGGCAAGAGGAAGCTAAGCAAATGAAGGTAGCAGGAGGCACAGGGAAGGATGCAATAGTTAAAGTGAATAGAGGAAATACTGTTAATTATTGGTACCTGAAGGGGATTGCAACCATTGTAATGAAGCAAAGTATATGATTTGTTGAATGTAAAACTGATCATCTGCTTTGCAAACCTTCACTCAATTCACAAGTAAAAAAAAAAAAAAAAAACCAACAAAAACTTAAAAGTAAAATTTCTGTATCACCCAACCTGTTTTTCTTTGAATTTCTATTTGCTGATGACTTCAGTTTTTGTTATGTCCTCCTAACATTTCTATTTTGCTGGGTTTCCTATTCTCCAAGTGACCCTGTATCTTAGTGATCCCAGCGCTGCTATGACGGAAATACCATAAGCAGAAGGCTTTAAAAACTAGAACCCTGTTCCTTCATAGGTGAGGAGGATAGCAGCCCAAATTCAGAGTCCCGGCTCAGGGGAAGCTTCTTTTCTCTTTGTCCACTCTAAGGAAAGGCCTTGTCTCCTTCCAGCAACTGTACGCCCAGTGGTCCTTGAAGATCAATCACCATGCGTCTTGGAGCTTCACAGTGTAGGGATCTCGGGTCCAAAGGATGCTCTCTCCTCCCGACTCTTCTCTCTTGGTGGTACTAGATCTCTCCTCATCTCACTTCGCTCTCCTATCTCTTCTAAGATAAAAGATGCTACAGGAAACTTCCTTTCAACTGACTGGTTACTCATAGCAGATCTCATCATTCAAGTAATTACATTGCATCAGATCTCATCATGGGAGACTACTACATCATAACCGATAAACCATGGAGATACCTGGTCCAGCCCAAGTTGATACAGAATTTTAAATAGAAATCATTTCTGCCTTCCTAATTGTTTTCAGATCTGTTTATTCCTACTTGTACTCCTACTATCTTAGACTCAATAATGTTGTGTTGTTGTTGTTAAGTGCTGTCGAGTCGATTCCAACCCATAGCAACCCTATACAGGGTTTCTGAGGAGCATCTGGTGAGCTTGAACCACCGACCTGGCAGTTCAAACAGTTTTGCAGTCAGGCACATTAACCCACAGCCAATAATTTTAGGGGTTACCTAATTTATTTTCTGTTTTCCAGTGAAGAGTCTTTTTTAAAAAGTTTTGTGGCTGAGTACTCTTAAAGAGGAAGTCCTGGTATGGAGCTGTAGGATAAGCACTGGACTGCTAACCAGAAAATCGGCAGTTCAAACACACCAACCACTCCTATACTGGGCTGCTATGAATGGGAACCGACTCTGTGGCACTTAACAACAAAATTCTTAGAGAGTGTGCTTTAAGAAGTTTAATCTGAAATACCAAAATACTGCAGAATAGATTGGAAAATAGTTAATGTGAATACAGAGAATATATTCTAAATGTGTCAGCCCAGACTCCAGGTTTCCAATATAACATAACCATTAATTATCAATATTTTTATCTCCACTAATTAGTCAGGCTCCATAAACGTCCCTAACAAACCCTGTGGGCTCTTTATCTTTGCTCAGGCTGTGCCTCTGAATTGGACACACTCCCTGCTCCTTTCTATCTATTCAAATTCTAATCTTCTCTCAATTTTCTCTTCAATTCTGAGTTTTCTAGCCCACCTCTGAACGTCTATAGTTAATTTGCCTGCACCAATTATTTTGACATTGTTCTGAAACGTTAAGTGCAGTTCAACTTCGCTTGCATTAGGAGCCCCTAACTGGAGTCCTGTTGTGGTGCTGCGGGATAAGCACTGGGTCACAACGTCAGTTTGAACTGCAAGATCAGCGGTTCAAACCCACCAGATGCTCCTCAGAAGCCCTGTACAGGAGGGTCGCTATGAGCTGGAACTGACTCACACTAACAACAACAACATATACGCCTATATGTGGAGTTCTGCTGTTAGTACTAGACTGCTGATCACAAGGTTGTTGGTTCAAGCCCACCAGCCTCTCCTTGGAAACCCTATTTCAGGGCTGCTAGGAATTGGAATGGGCTCGAGGACACTTAACAACAACAAACATACATAAATACATATATATGTGTATATATATATATATACAGATACATATATGTACATATGTATATACATACAAAGATCTTCTAAGATTAATTGGTGAATATCATTTGGAAAGTCAGATACTGAAAACAACA